AAAAAGTAGCTAAGTTAGCAACATAAATATGTTGTTTTTATCCAAGCTGCTCAGCAGGATTATGTAACCTGTGGTTCATGCCCTTTGTATTATTGCTTTACGAATTATGCTAATGGGAAAGATATCATAGGCATGCGCAGCTTAGCCAACTTCCAAATAATTCACCGAATAAGAGCATTGTATCATAATAGAAATTCAATAATAACTTAGTTACTGAAATCTATTTCTGCATTAGGTAAATTTGCTATTCAGAGGTTCTCGTAGAAGTCATAAATATATACTTGCAATTCGCGATTTGATTTACAGGACAGACTGACTGTTCAAGAACAGAATGAAATACATATTTGTCATAGTACATAGCACGCTGTATTATTCCGTTGTCAATTTCGCAAGTTGAGCTCCGCTGCAAAGCTTAGGCGTTTTGTGGGGACAAGTAAAACTTTACTCAAAACAAAGTTGTCAAAGTTTTATAGCATGTCTATGAAACAGAGAAATTGGAACTCGCTGATACTAAGATTGCTTGTCAAAATATCGGATGCTATGGGAAACAGAGTGACTACAACTTAATGTTGGGACTCACAAATGTAGTACGAGTTTTTCAGTGGGTAATTGTTCCCTGAGTTTAAAATTGGGGAATTGTAAATGCAACGGCGCTTATCTTGCTCCACCGAGGTTGCTTTCCATAGATTCCGGTAGACGTTTCTGAATGTTGACCACGCTCAGTTAGAAGCCCGCTTCTGAAGAAGCATTTTCAGCAACGTAATAAGTTTACAGTTGTGTTCTAGTGAGCTGCAATATGCTCGCAGGATCGGGCAGTGGCCGAAAAATGGAAAGGTACAATATCGTAGGCCATAATGAGATCGATCCACAGCCGTCGACAGAACAAGTATGCAGTCCCAGTCCCAGTCCCTCGCCATTGTCTCGTATGGTAAACCTGGTAAAATGGCTGTCGACGTGTTATAGGTTAGTTAGTGTGCTTTTATGTGAAAGACAGTGCACCGCTCCTGCACCCAGTGTCGTTGTTATCTTCATATCAATAATAAGAACTAAAGCTGCTAAATCACTTTTATTAACTCTGAGTTTCCTAGTCTGCCAGAGCAGCATAACTAGAAACATCCAGTCGTTTTAACAGTCGTTTGATTATTTGGGTTACTTGGCATTTTGGAAATCATCTAACGCACTAGAGAAATAAAAGAGATATCCTGAGTTTAAATATGCGAAATTCCATCATCAAATGTAGAGGGGATGCTAAGCTGGTTGGGGTATTTTTAACCTGCGACAAGTCAGAATCAGGGGAATTGTCAGTTGCTAAAACTAAGAAAAACCGTGGTCAAATTCTACGAGAATCTGTCGGTTAATCGTTTATAAAATGGATAAGGTGAACGGGGTAATTGTTACTCACTTGCGTTTAGGGTATACAAACCGCAATAACTGACAAGTGTTTAACTGCTTATCGAGAAGTCGGAAGATATTAAGTAGCAGACATTTTCGCTAAGATTTAGCTGCACTTAGCATTTAGACTTGCGCATCGACATTATCCTTACGCCTTTGAAATTGTGGCTCTTTCTGTACTAGGTAAGCTTGTAATAATTTCACTAAAATTTACCGGCTACGTACACCATGGAAAATGTAGGAGGGAAAACTTGACCTTTTTTTCCAATGGTTTGGAAAGTTAGATTGCTCCAGTGCACTACATAACTATAGCGTTTCAAGTTATAATACTTTCTAGCTGTTTCTCTTACATTTTAGCTGGTTGCGAAATATCTACACATAAAAATACATCGAGATAATGGTGACGCATATATTTGATTTGACTTAATACAGATTGGTCACTTACGTATGCATCTATACATGTATAAATAGAATTCACTACACCGGTTAGCTAAATTAACCCATTCTGCCGCATGTATGTCATATGCATGCATGTGATCTGCACGCGCGTACGAGAAAATATCTTTCTTTTCCGACACTTTACTTCAACGATCAATCACCCAGTATTATTTCGTATACATTCAATCAACCTTTATTGCAAACTATATCGAATGAATATTACTACTCGTTAGACGTTCAGTAGATGACTCTTTTATGAAATGATTTTATACAATTCACAAAACCACCCTATGGAACTAGTAAGCGTTTGGTTTCCAACAAGCGATAAATTATTGTTCACACTGCATGTATACTTTGCAAGTATATCTGCGGAGGCTTGAGTATTTATCTATAAAAAGTCTTTGGCGAATAATCCCTAATTATTTGTTCATGAAAAAGAAAATTCCTAAACTGTTAACCACCTTTCCTTTTGCGTTCTTTCAAGTAAAACATAGTGGTGTTGATCAAAGCTATGAATTGTCTAAAGGCTAAATCTGAACAGACATCAGTGGCACTTAAGAGACCGATGGTGTGGAACATTTGCTACCCAATTAATTATGATAGCTTTATCCTCACTTTTGAGAGAACAAAATGCTTCGTTTAGTTTTTAGCATATTAATCACATGCGTCACGCTGATGAGAGGCACCTAGTAAAATTTATTTTTCACTTAACACAATGCACAGCAGCTAACCAAAATTAATCCAGTAGGTAATCCTCGAAAACCAAGGTTACACCAACATATTTTACTGTCGAGCATTATCTCGAACTTCCAGCGGTTATATCCACACCCAATATCGTGCAAAGTTCATGACGAGCGCCAAGACTTGCATGTAATATTCTAACCAAATTTATTAGCTAAATGAACTTTCAAAATTGAGGGCATTAATATTTTGTAACTTTTCTGCATTTCATTTGAAACAGGTTAAGACACAATTACTACATTATCAGCCTTTGACTTCTTGTGAACTCTATTTCAGCGATTGAGATTTAAACTAGTGGTGCACTGGGACTTGTGACATTCCTCGTTCGAGGTTGTAGCTCTTTCGCAGTCTCAATTACCGTTGTAATGCGGTCAATACAGGCAAATTATGTACAAACTCTAGATACACACTAACTTATTAGCTCATTTACGAAGCTTAGGCCAGCATATACAATATATCATTAAATAATGTTTACCTTAGTTCGAAATGAACGGCACATGATAAACATTTTATATGGAGTTGCATGTGAACTTCTCTACGTTTTTATGTTCAACGAGGTTCCAAACTCTTAAACACAACAGTGTTGCAATCCAGTGCAAATCTAAATATGTCTAAAGGTTAAGCAAACAGAAATGATCCTGCCAACTTGATGCTTTAAGGCAACCCCTATATTTTCTGTCAAAATGAGAAACCAGTGACGTCAACACATTTGCATGCCATAAATCATTATTAAGAACTGGAAAATCGGAAATTTCTTGAGTACGCACAGAGACAGCCAGGTCTCTGGTTTGATCATAGATAGTATTCAGAACGCCACTTTGTTACTAATTGCTTGAAATTAGAATCGGTTCACCAGACCTTTGTAGCCGCACTGATAGCATCGCAGTTTCTGTCCCTGCTGCACCATGCACAAATCCAGTCCCACCTATCCTTACTTACTGAAAACTGACCACGTCACTTTGAAAGTAAGTCAATGGTTGCATTTGGGAACGTACTGTCACTACAATTACTTCCTCTGTACATCTTCCTCAGCTGTGTGCACCAGTAGCAAAACGCGCTTCCGGTTTTCGTCAATATAACTTTTGCTTTTTCAACAATAATACCTAATAGGGCATAGACAAATATGCGTACATAATATGTTATGGACAATTAGACCACAATAAAACAAAATTTGTGCACTTGAATACCATAAAATTGTATAGCGACCTACATCCCGTTTGTCCTTGATTTTGGCTTGCCACTGATTGCTAGGGATTGGTGTAGCAATGACAATTTTATTCATAACGAAAAATTCTTTATTGTCTCAGTAATCGATAATCTGCTGTACGCCCCGGGAGTTTATTTGTTATTGTATCTGCGCTCTTCTTATGTTTAGACTCCTGCTTAAGAAGCTCCCAATACAATTCCGTGCGCCTGCATTACATGAGCATTATTTCTGCGTCCCAGTGGGACAAAGCCATTAAAAACGCCTTTTTATATTTCGCACACGTGCACTTGGTTCATGCCACGATGAACCAGCAGTGTATCTGGGTAACCTCGGACTCAATAGGGCGGATCATTCGTTAACGCTTACACGGTATCAGAGATACGCACGGCGTTGATCCTTATAGAGATAATAGAAAGGCCGTCAAGCTTTATGATGGTTATCTACTTTTACATAAGTGCGGCGATTATAAGTTGTAGTACGTTAGTTTTTTACTTATTTATTGCTACAATGTTTTGCTGCGTAGATATTCATTAAAATAAATGGCAATAACTTAAGCCATCTACAACACAGATCCCCTGCCAACCCCAGTAAGACCACCGGCTACAAGAATGACAAATTCTAATTACCCAGCGTTCTATGGCATGGCCTTAGATTTATTCCATAATGATATGTGCGGTTCAGCTTAGCTAAAAGTATGTGTAAAAATCAATGAAATATGTCTTCTGGGCCAATGTACCTTGGCCTAGTATCATTGTAATCAACAGATGTGTCCTTACACCAACAAAGTTTAAAGTATGTGCAACCAAAAAAGTGAAAAATCACTAGAAAGACGCCTATTCTATCACGCCATCACAAAATATGTGTCCTATCCGAGTGTGGGTGGATGAGCTTTAGAGGTATAACTAAGTTGACTATGATTAGTACGAAGAAGTCAAGATTGTTAGCGGAGGAAAGAAAATGCCTTTACTACTAATTGCATTGTGTCTTACTGGTTATCGGATAGCATTCGCTACAGGTAAGTACAATTTAATTGCATTGGCATTATTTTTCCATAAAACCGCGTGTGAAAAGTAATTTTTTTAAACTGACAACGTAAATGTAGTCTTTACCTTTTTCCACTTATATTCCTTCTACACACAATTTAGGGATTGATGATCCATGCATTCCGTTCCGTGTAAATGGATCAAAGGGGAGGATAGAACTATTCGATTATAAGCCGAATATGTTCTGCAACGCTTTGCTCACTGCCCCAAATTCTCAAGGAATTTACATGTACTTCCTGGAACTTGATGTAAGTAACCAACGTGTTTTTAACTACATGGCTGTTGTCTTCATTACTTGACCCAAAGCGCTTTTTCAGATGAATATCGGTTGCATCAACCTTCTTCAAAATGCATAATTCCACTGCCCTGTTCGTGTGACTGAATCGATTACCTATGCTGTAGGTCGTATCATACGATATTTTGTCCAACAAATGAAGCGTTTCCGCCCTCAAGTGCTTAGTGTCTATCAACTGTACGTAAAAACGCAAGTCATATTAGCTGTGAAAGATTTATCTATTCCGAAAGTTAGACAGGTTTTATCTTGCCTTCTTGCTGCCATAGACATTAAGCGGAATTAGGCGCAGTTAAAATCCTTCGAAGTAAGCAGAAATTGCGAGATACCTTTAGCCTGTTTATTAGTAGTTTGTATATCATGTATTCTCTGCCAGCGGAAGCGCACGCAATCGTGGTTTGAAGGTTTTGGACAGATAAATAGGATCCTAGCGGAAAGTAAATATCGGTAGCCATTCTAGCAGGGTATCAAAATCTAACACAGCTTGACTCATGTTAGACATCTCACAATAATTTAAACCAGCAGTTTTTGGAGCTATGAATTTGTAAACCTAATGCAACTAATTTAAATAGCCACCTAAGACAACTGCATACAGTAAGAACCCACGTAAAAATGGTGGTATATGTAACTAGCAGTTAGTGCTTCGCCAAATGCGTAAGAATTCAAAATTCACGACAGTGCCATGCGTAATTTGTGTAAAAGCGTCCTTGATTAGGAAAAGCAGTTGTACAAACAGGCTTAAGCAAAATGCATCCATGAAGATTGAAAGGAAAATCACAGTCTATGTAAGCCGTAGAGACAAATTTACCCCCAAGCGTGTAGGCGATTGATATGTTTGATCCAACGTCTTTGTTGTCCTGAGGAACGTGTCTGAAAAATCGTTCGCTGCAGCTGTGACTGCCTTCACAGAAGCATAATTAATGTTTGACATACTCAACCTTTTGCAGTCTGCATACTGGTTTCTTTATTTAAATATCTCACCTTTGTTGGGAGTATGCACTGATTCAACGCTGTTTACTGATGATATTGATTTCGATCAAATATAAATTCCATATGCTGTTCCCGAAATCCTGTAACTTGTAATGTGAAGGACAAGGTACTACTAAAACAGGTTCAGTAAGCGCACCTCATTGCATGCATTAGACACTGTTTTAACCAGGTTTCATCAGATTACCTAAAAATTAATACGTTGCTTCTCTCATATAATTTTAGTTTTAATATTAAATTAATATTAATATTAATATAATATATAATATATATATGTATTATGTATAATATATAATATATTTATATAATATATATAATATATTAATATAATATTAATATTAAAGTAATATTAAAATATTAAAATTAAACTAATATTAAATTAATAGTTTAGGTTTAATATAAAAGTATGATTAACTTGTTCAGTCACAACGCATGCACATTTTGCATCAGATTCCATAAGATGTCTTACAAAGTGCGTTAGATAAAAGACCACTATAAGGAATGGTTAGCCGGTGGTATGCCGATTTACGCCTAACTGCTGAACAACAATCTGTGGCCTGGCATCTGATTGATAGCGCTGTATTAGCTGACTACAATAATTATGATAAGTGCGACGCTTTCTGCTCATAAGGACTGTGCGATAAATATTAAGGAGACTTTTGATACTCGAAGTAGATCGCACAACCGGTTTAGTCTGTCAGCTGTCGCATTCAGAAGAGCAACTAATTCAAGCAAAAGTTAAGGTAAATTTAATTTCAGGTGCAAAGTGAACGCTAGAAAGCCCATTAGGACGCCTTTTTACGGCTAAATATTAACGCCGATCTAAATAAAAATGAATGGAACCCAGAGAGTTGTTGAATAATCTCATGGTTTCTCACAAATAACAAGATCTATCAGCTATACATGGTTTTCCATCACGGTTTCTTATATCGTTACTGATGAGTAGTAGGAGGAGTTAAACGGTATAGGTAGAAATGCTATGCTTTAGTTTTGGAAAACCCAACAGCGGTCACTGTTAAACTTTAAATGTACTCAAAGTCTTGGGCTAAAAACGCTTCCTACCATCTCTAAAGTTACTCTGATTGGAACTTAAGTTGCTCAGTGATATTAATTTACCCGTGCAGACTAACCAGCCATTAAATTTGGTTGATCAAAGTTATCAAATCTTCATTGTGCAAATCTATACCATACATTTGCTTGGATGAACAACTATTCATTGGTCATAATCATCCTGCGTCTGACATTTTAAGTATTGCAGATATCCGGTTGTGGCTTTGGATAACATAAACTAGTAATTCGTAATACACGAATCGGCACACAGGTGTCTTCCCTCTGTTGTAGAGCGAACCGTTGCAACAAGAAAGAACCTAAGCAAGGTATCTCCAACTAGGAATCAGCCATTAGTCCACTAAACCCTGCCAAAGATCTGCGTAAATAAAACTCCGTCTACATCATGATGCGCCTAACACAGTCTAGTAAACAAGAGTGCATAAGTAAATTTGCGGAAGGTCCTCTTTTAACACGTTATCTCCCAAGAGCTCTTAGCTCAACCGTAGTTTTATTTACCAGAATCATTTCAAGCAGGTCACACTCCGTCACGACTCACAGGTTCGAGCTGCCCCAAACGTTATCCAGAGAAAGGAGTTTTACACACTGCCACAAAACATCTTTTAGCCTGGGTCCAGACTCACAACTTTGAAGTTCAAAGTTTGCAATTGATATAAACAACATGCTTTTTATCATTGAAATTTCAGTCGATTTTCACAATCATTGCTTCTCTTCATCCTAAAGTCCATGTATTACGTTCATTTTTATTGGTGATCTTTTCTAACCTATTTTTTATTTTATTAATTTTACCCTAAAGAACCAGCTATTAAGCATTCATTGATCTTCGGATAGGATAATTTTAGGTTAAATTTACAGTGCCCTCGAGGTTGGAGCTTGGTAAATTAATTGATAACATCGCCTGCACCAACACCTTTTGGACACTTAGTGCCAAATGAACTTTAGAAATCAAGTTGGATAAAGCTATCTGATATTAGACTGCAACCAGTGGCGGGGTATTTACACGGCGGGCCAAACTTCGGCTAATCATATCCACCAGTTTTGACACTTATGTTTGAATGCATAAAAAGCCTAAATTTTAAAAATAAGTTGATCGGAGCTAATATAACATCCATGGATAAGGTGGTCCGTAGTAATTGTTTTCGTGCATTTCTTATATACTATATCATATACTCAAATGAATAGCAAGCAACAACCTGTCAATATTACAGTACTCTGGAACTTATCATTTACAGGGCACACTTGCTTGTTATATTGATGGACCTAACAAATTTCTTGGGAATAATCATCGGAAGGTGAAACATTGCTTAAAGCTACGCATTGACGACCTACACTACTTAACGTATAATCATTTGTCTGGTTATGTTAAAGAAATTTTCCCTAACCCTGTTCTTTGATGATCTGGGACTACTTATTTCTCTATAAACGTTTTTTAAATACCACAGACTTTATTGCTAGAGTAATTGGCTTCTAGATCTATTCAGTATTGCTGCCAAACTGTGTTCCCCAAGCAAGGTATACGCCCGGTCGCAAATTGCAAATAGTTGTAAACGATGTCCAGTAGATTCAGCCTAAGTTGAGGCTGACTGATGACTGCTCCATTACATTAGCAGTAAAAGAGTATTAAAGAGTGTACGCATCTGAATGACAGAAGTATCATTCCATTACAGAACAAATCTTTCGACTTCTTCATTTACTAACTAGTGTGTCGAAACTAATTTTGCCGGTTACTGCATCGTATAACTTCAATTATTTTTAGATATTCTGACGAAAAGAACATTAGCAAGCCATGTAATATTTTGATGTTTACATTTTTATTGAATCATTTGTTAAAATACTTGTGCTTGTCACTCCGCACCTCAGTGAAACTCTTGTTTTAATAATCAAGGACCAAAACTCTCAACTGTCACTAGAATTAGGGTAACCTGGTTAAGTGCCTCACTCTTCGTTTATTAAATGACGGTGCATGTGGCTTGCATTTGTTGTCTTATACGCGTGCTTCTAACAATGGTTTAAATTCTAACCGATATATGACGGCTGTGGTTATTCGGCAGCACAAAGCTGAGCCATTTATGAGGTCCAAAACCTTTTCTAACGTTCTATCTCATAGGGTATCTAAACTCGTGTGGATAGCAGTCGCAAATGAATTACTTGTCTTCTGAGTCCAAACAAAATTAGCAAGTCGCAGTGCGGTTTTCTGCAATTTTTGTCTTGCGCAGCATGCCAGATGGAATTCTTACGCCGCATAAAGGCTGTCATCAACAAGGGAATAAAGGTTAATCTTAGCTTCCGTTCAACCTGATATCCGTTGATCTACTGCCTTATCAGACAGTACATTAAAAGTTAAAGGCAATGTGTATTAAAGAGTCAAGGTCTTCTTGATTCTCCTTATATCTAACTTGTAGACAGCCGATGGTTTGTGCTATTGACCGTTTCTACAATTTGAATCTTATTACTGATTACTTATAGAAATATACTTGGGCCACGTCATTTATTATCGATGTGCTCGGGATTATAAGGCGTAGTCCGGTTTCTTTACGCTAATGACATTATGCTTATCCACGCATTAGAACCTAAACATACTCAGAAAGCCGTAAGCCTAATTCCAAAAGTGGTGTTTGGAAATGAATCCTGGTGCCAACTGAGAAAAGTGTCATTTGCTATGGACAGGCGTATTATAGTTTTACAAATGCTTAGATCAAGCTGAGAATATGTTAATGCGAAGCACGCTTCCTGCAATATAAGGCTGCTTGAGACTTGATCGTGATATATTCTATCTCCTCTAACTTATTTAGACATTGTGCTTTATATTTTTGAAGGATTTTTGGATCATGGGAACATATGCTACCATATTTTAATTCATCAAACTTTACAACTGTTCCTTCAAAACATATGTACACATAA